GTGTGTAAACACGGAATAGTTTCTCTAGTGTCAGAAACTGAAAGTGTAAGCAAGGACTAAAAGGTACAAGAGATACTGTGAAACAGCAAGAAAAGGTGCAGAGGGGAGGGGGAAGTGGGCAGGGTAGAGCACCAGGAAGAGGGGAATGGAATTAATATGAGGAAAAGAAAAATGGAAACATTTCTTCGTAGATAGGGAGGGGCGGAGGGGTTGAAGGGAGGGCAGGGGAATGGGGAAAAATAAGAACCACCATGGACTATGTAAAGATGCAAATTTCCTATGTTGAATATCATTACATTGTATACCTTCAGTGTACCAATAAATTTAATTAATTAAAAAAAAACTGTGGATATGCAGAAAAAAGTCCAAATTCTACTGCCCTGCTGGTGAGCATCCAAAACGACCCTGCTGCTTTGGAAAACAATTTAGCAGCTTCTCGTGGTTTAAAATATACTCACGATGGTAGCGAGCACTACAGAAATGTATTTTCTCATACGCTGAAGGCTTCAAGTTGACCATCAAGAGCCTAATCCATTCTGTTTATGTTGAGAGCTCTCTTCCTGGCTTTTTGTATGTATTCATATCACTGTTCTTTTTCGGTGCTGAAAGAAATACAGACACAACAACACACACACACACACACACACACACCTCTAACAGAATGAGCTCTGGTGTCTCTGCTGAGGACTGTAGCAGTCCAGGCACACACAGCGGTGTCACCTCAGCCCTCTGACAGCATGAGACAGGAGGATCGCAAGTTGGAGCCCAGCAAATTGCCAAGTCAACTTCCAACTAAACCCTTGTGAAAGGGTTCATGATGCTCATCAGAGCAAAGACTTTGGATTCAATCGCCTCAGTCAGAAAAAGGGGGAAAGGACAGAGTCTTATTGGAGCAGATCCCAACCTTCGACCTCCTTTGTCTTTGATACTTTCTCAGTACTAAGTCCAGTCACAGCCAAGCACAGCAACACAGTGGGCTAAGGCTTCAGCATTTGAAATGTGCAGGGATACAAATGCTCGATCCACCAATGACACTGTGTCACCTCCAATCTCAGGCTCGCATATTCAAATAAAATATCCAGTTTTGCTCACTGAACCCCATACACAACTGTTATGCCTCTTCGTTCATAACCCGTCCCCCTAAACAGCCTTAACGCCCACGAGATGATGAATGAGTGAACAGCTAGAGCTTCCTCCAAGCGCTTGAGTCCTGTTTGGCCAAGAGAAGAGAACCCTACTGGTTCGCACAGCCCAGCAAGCGCTGGAGGCTGAGGCCTGGAGAGCAGTTAACTGCAGAGGGCACTGGAAAAGGCTTCCTAGGCGACCGAAATGTTTGCTGTCTTGTTCTAGTGGCTTCTACAGCACTGATGCATTTGTCAAAATTCACAGAACTGCACCACAAAATGGGTGGCTGTCACTGCATACTACATACACGTAAATAGTGGGAGAGAGCATATGTTCTCGGTGCTACATTTTTGGCATTTAATTTTCTTATGTATGACCGCAGAACTGCTGTCTGTGGTGCATATTTCAGAGAATTTGAAAGTGTTTCATTATAACGAGATTTTCAATATTAGTTAATATCCACTGAGCTTAATGGAAATGTATCATCGTGTGTAAGTTTTTCACGTATGTGTTGCAAGTGAAAGTAATATGTGCAGCTGTGGATGTGTACGGTTGTCGGACATTTTTAGATCGTACCTTTAATTTAGAAATTCAACTCCTCAGTTATCGCTGTTCGTTTTGGATTACTACAGGGGCTAAGTTCTGAGGTACACACTAGCATTCCAAGTATCGATTGAGAGAAATTCTTCTACTCTAAGAGTTTCATATCTGTTGTACTGTTCACACAGCTTAGGAACTGGTAAAGTGTTTCTGTGCATTAAATGTTTTCTGTTCACAAAGGATCCCCTGGCCTCCCTCTCTCGCTGATTTCGGAGACTGAGAAGAGTGTAGGAAAAGGCAGGTTGAATACTCTGGATTGCGCAACAGCTCTCTGCAGAAGGGCTGCATGTGTAAAGCTCCTACTTTCTGTGCCCAGGCAGACAAACAAGGAGCTCTTAGCACACCTGCCTGAGGAGGACCTCTGAGGATCCCTCTGGGGACGCCTCGAATTGGCAACAGGCCTGATGGAAACGCTCCAAGCTGGCCCAGGAGAGCCTCATTAATGTGCTCACCCTGTTGGAGGGAAGGCCTCCCATCGCTCAGTCCCGGCTGTGCTTTTCCCCTCATCCAGGTCCAGCAGGAAGCCAGCAGAGTGGGGACTGCATGAGAGCACCTGACAAAGGCAGATGGCAGCAGGTAAGAGGACTGGGGAGCAGGCCGGGACAGGGCTCCCTGAGGCACAGCCTGACTGTCCAGGACTCACACGACAGAGGCACCGCAGGAGAAGCAGAACCGTGGAGTCCCTGTGCCCTACCCATGTGCAGAGGGCTGGTGCCTCTTGGTCTGACTCGGGGAAGCCTTCTGCTCCCAGGAAGTGCTGTCTGTCCACTTCAAAAGACAGCGAGCACATCTCCGAGATGGAGATAGAAAAAGAGGCAGTGGAGGGAAACGAAGAAGACAGCTAAGTTCTTGTTGAGCACAACACGGAGTGCAGGCTCGGCTGGAGACTGAGCAGAAACTCAAAGCCAAGAGTGGCCGTCCACAGCCCTAGAGAGACTGCTCTCAGACGTGCCAGCCCCTGCTACTCCGCCCTTGCTGTGTACCTCGGTGCCAGCTGTTTCACTGTGTCCACGCCGTGTGCCCCGTGACCACACGTTAGGTAGCGTCGACTTGGGCTTTAGTCCCCAACTAAGCAGCCTTAGTTTGAAAGTTCAGGAGCAGAAAACTCAGTGACACAGGTGAGTGAGATGCTCAGACGCAGGCACACCGCCCTGACTCGCAGAGAGTAATGCGCGCAAGCAGACGTCAACTTATCAATGGCAACTGATGTTTCTGGTCCAGCAACCGATGTCCCAGGGCTTGCCCATTTCACAGCATAATCTGTACGGCAAGAGAGTACAGGCTCGTTTCAGCTTAATGTTTTCAGTTTGGGCTCTTGGTGGCCAACCCAACAGAAGAGGACCAATCCCTGCTTCCATGTGTAGCCCTCTTTCTCTCCGATCCACCCTACATGTCTGAAGAAAGCAGTATGAAAATTGAGGCTGAAGGGACTGTCTTGGTGACATACGGCACAACCCTCTTTCCACTAAATGTCTAAGGCTTCTGTTGCCCACGGGCCCTTGCCAGCACCTTGCAGCTTTTGTTATTGCTGCTCTACCTACTCTAGCTCTGGGAGCACGTTCATGAGTGTGATTTCCCATCTGTCATGCATCTCTCACCGTGGCCATCGCTGAGCTTTCCCATTGTGCGTCCATCCTGTCACCGGTGCCCTGAAAGCTCTCCCTGCAGTGTCTTCCCAGCAGTCAGCCACTTCTCAGGGCAGTTGCTGCCTTTTTTCAGTCATGAGCCATGGTGGTGGTGTAGTTTATATGTCAGCACAATCGGTTGGGAGGTTTGTATTTTTGTTTTGTTGTGTTTTGTTTTGTCACTTCTCCCCTTTAAAGCATGCATATATTCCTTAGGGTGATACCCTCATCTCTGCCTGTCCGGATGAACATAGCCTAGTGGTAACCAAAGGCCAAGGACAAGTCACAAGGCAAAGTGATCAAAGGGCACATAGGCCGGGGATTTAGCTCAGTGGTTCTGACACCTGATTCACAAGTTTAAGGTCCTGAGTTCCAGCCACAGTATCAGAAAAACAGATAAACAAACAGAAAGGGGACAAAGTTTCAAGTTCTGTGAAAATTCGCAAGCCATAGTTAAAACTTGCATTTCACGATGTGACCCTTGTGTAGGAATTGCCATGTGTGATGTTATCAATAAACAGGGCAGAGGAATGTCGCTTCTTGGTGGAACGTAGGTTTCACTTGCATGGGGCCCTGGGTTCCATCCCGGAGCCACACAAAATAAGAACAGAAACACAGTTTTTCAGTGAATAATAGGTAACCAAAACAGAGCCTAAAAATGGCCAGGTTCATAGCTGGAGCCTATGGGGAACACAGTCCCTGCTCTGGGAAGCCTGACGGGGAGATCTGCTGGAGCCCAGGAATTGGGGCCAGCAGTCATACTGAGGCCCTGCATAAAAAAGAAAATAAATACACAGACACACGAAACATAAAGACACAACCATGTGAACTCGGTGCGAACTGCCATACCTGGGGTTTGGAGAATTTGGATAAACCATCTAACGTCTTGAATCTTTCGGTTATCTACAAAGTGAGTCATAATTCCCCACCTTTTAGAATGTTATCTTTTTCATTATAAAGACCTACATATGGTACTTAGCAAATAGAAGTGGAGTTAATAGACCTGTGGCCATTAGTAATTTAACACTACGGACACTAACCAGGCTTTTTCTACTCAAATGGGAATAAGAGAATTCAGTTTGCGTTCATTCTCAACTGTTGCAGTAGTACACCTGTCCTCAGGTTCCAGTGCCCACCAGCCTACTGTATGATGAAGTCCTGAGAAATCAATACGCTAAGAGTCAGAACTAGGAGACAGAAAGCGGGGGCCAAACAACCAAAGCCAGTGGGACCAGAAAAGGTAGTGGCCAGTCCCAGGCACTGATTTTTATTGATGATCAGTTGGGTTAAAGGCAATATGTGTTTCTACGGCAATTAATGTAAAGAAGGCTCATAAAGGACAAGACAAAGCATTCTCAAAATAGGAAGAAAAGAGACAAAATATATGATTATAGCTAGAACATTGTCCTCCTGGTCTGAAGGTTTTGGTTGTGACAGCACTGTTTGGGTGTGAGCATGTAGGCTTCGGCCAGACTCACTTCTCAAAACAGGCCCATTGTGGGGTTAACATTTCACGGCCTGCTTGGGCCGTGAGCAGGTTCACAGTCCTCCGCACTCAACCACTGAACAGATTGTTCCACACTGGATACTGCTTTGCTCAAGTGTGGACATATGACTGTAGCCTATGAACACTCTTTCTTCCCCACAGACATGGACAGGGACAACCACACTACAGTCACAGAATTCCTCCTCCTGGGACTCTCTGGGCTGCAGGAGCAGGAAGATGCCCTCTGCGGGCTGTTCCTGTGCATGTACCTGGTCACCATCATCGGGAATCTTCTCATCGTCCTGGCCATCAGCTGTGACCCTCACCTCCACACGCCCATGTACTTCTTCTTGGCCAACCTCTCCGCTGTTGACATTAGTACTTCCTCAGTCATAGTACCCAAGATGTTGGTCAATCATGTGGTGGGGAGCAAGTCCATCTCTTACCCACAGTGCATGACCCAGATCTACTTCTTCATCACTTTTGCTAATACAGATGGGTTCCTCCTTAGTGTGATGGCCTATGACCGCTATGTGGCCATCTGTCGCCCACTGTACTACACCATGATCATGAGGCCCAGAGTCTGTGTCCTGCTGGTGGCCGTCTCCTGGGTCATTACCAACCTGCATTCTCTCCTCCACACTCTGCTCATGGTCAGACTCAACTTCTGCTCCAACAACGCTGTGCGCCACTTCTTCTGTGACCCCTACCCTCTCCTGAAGCTCTCTTGTTCTGACACCTTCATCAATGACCTCATGGTTTTCACTGTGGGTGGATGGGTCTTTATGACACCGTTTATGTGCATTGCAATTTCATACGCCTACATCTTCTCTAAAGTCCTGAAGTTGCCCTCAGCCCAGGGGATAAGGAAAGCCCTGTCCACGTGTGGGTCCCACATCACTGTGGTCTCCCTCTTCTATGGGGCTATCCTGGGCATCTATATGCACCCTTCATCCTCCTACTCAGTGCAGGACATGGTGGCCTCTGTCATCTTCACAGTGGTGACACCACTGGTCAATCCTTTCATCTACAGCCTGAGGAATCGGGACATGAAAGCAGCCCTCAGGAAGCTCATTCTCAGGGTGTAGAACTTGGACATTTTAGAACTAAGAGAAGTAGCAAACACTGATCATTTCTTCCTATTTATAAATAGAAATTGTGGCTCAGGTAGAAGCAAAACTCTTCTAGTGCTCAGAGAGTAGCTGGTGATAAATGATGATCATGCTCTGAATTTGAGGCTGACTGATGCTCATAATCTGAAAACTAGTACTTTGTTATTTATGAAATGTGTTGATTCAGAAACCATTGAGGTTCAGAGATATTTGGTTGTAAATTTTTGGATGCTTCCAGAACACTCCAAGGCACCGGCAGCCCAATGACTTACGTAAGGATCTCAGCAGACTTATAGCTGAACTCGTTCAGAATCACCAGAGGTCTGTGGTCATCCTGTCACCTGACAAGGGTAACTCAACCCTCATGTGTACCTGGTAGCTATGGAAATAGCACGATCAGAAATGCCCCAGGGCAGATGCTTTGGTGAGTCATTTTCTCTGTCCTGTGCTGAAATCTCTCCTCTGCCTCTCACTGCTACAGCACTGGGACACAAACCCAAGTTGCTCGTGCTTTATTATGAAGTATGGGTCCTGTTCATAAATGGGGAGCAGGAAACTGGGAGAGCAGCTTGCCTGCTCCACAGAACTGTTCTATCCCGTCAGGATTGTTTGGACTGCAGGAAGAACAGGTTTCATTAAAACTGAAGTGTCCAGAGTTTCTATAGCAACTTAGCACCCTGAAGACACAAATGAACTGCAGGATTGGGATTGGAACCCACGATTCTGATTCCAAATCCACTTTTCTCTTATTTATAGGGCCTGGTGTTCAGTGCTCCCAGTCTCTTCTCTTGTTCCACACCTGGGAACTCGTATCCACAAGGCCAGTCCCATGTTTTGTTTGCTGGTGTCCAGAGCATCACCACCCAAATCACCAGTGCTCAGACCTCATCTGCCCTCCCTTCGATGCCTTCTTGCCTGGCACTTTTCACGTTCCTCTGTCTCTGCCGCTCTGACCCCTCAGTACTCAGGGCCCTGAGCAGCAGCTCCTTCCTGACTGCATCCTGCACCTCAGAAGCCTCCCACAGAGTCCCAGGGCCCTGAGCGTCTCTGTATCTCTCATAGACTGTTCAAGCCTGCTAGTGTTGACCGTACCTGGCAGTCAATCCAGAGAGAGGATGTGAAAGAAGGCAGGAGAAACGCAAGTATCTACCCCTAAAGTAGAAAGCCTGACACGATGGGCCTCACATTAGCCTTACAGCTCCTGTGCTCATTGACTTCAGTGTTTATCAGGTGTCTCTCTGAGTGCTCCTCCCGTTCCCTTTGTTCATTCTGTGCTGACACTCTAACAGCTGTGCGTTTGTCTTCATGCCTTTGTGAATCCCTTCTCACAGACGAGTATGGAGCACAACCCCTGGGCCCCTCGAGCTGGACGCCCACGTGTGTGCGGTGCCCACAGGAACCGAAGCAAGTGACAGTCCTCATGTACGTTCTGACTCCTGGGTTTCTTTTAGAGAAGGAGGCTCAGTACAAACGCTCGAGGTGCGGCAACCTGGATTAGATGTTGTTTCCGGTTCTGTGACTGCTGAAGGGCTCCTCAGGGCCTCCTTGTTACCCATGTCTGCACGGCTCTCGTCCTCCTGTTGCGTTACCCGCTCACTTTGACAAAGCACCTTGGATCATGCGTGGACGCGGACTCAGTGGAGACCCTGTTCTCCTGAAACGCGTCGTGCACTGAGAAATCATTCCAATATGGAAGGCAAGTCCAGGGGATGAAGGCAATCAAGTTATTTCACCTGAAACTGATGAGCAATGCTGAACTGAAGACAGCGAAGAGGCGGGAGCTCCCTCCTCTTTTCACTCTGTTTGCCTGGTAGAAGAACGTAGATTCCTATAGACAGGAGGTCTTTACCCCCTACTCCTCCATCCCCCGAGCCAGAGGTGGGAATCCTCCCCGGGAGGCGAGCTTGGACCAGCCAAACCAGGGACATAGGGGTGCTGGCTTCATCCTCTTGCCCTGGTTTGCTCCTGTGAAGGCAGGCTCTTGGCCTTTGTTGTGTTACTTTCACATGCAGGGCTCTTTGTTAAAATAGCATTAAAGGCAGAGTTCCAGGACACTGCTTTGAAAGTCACTCTTTTGAGAGAGCTGCTTCTCTCCTGGGTGTGAAACATGGCACGTTTTAAACCTGCTTGGGATCTTCTCCTGTTGATTTGCCTTTTGTGAATAGTAAGCTCCCCAGTTAAATTCTGTGAGGGTTCAGAAATGAAACTCTATTGTGATCTCCTTCCTGGGAAAGTAGGAAGTGGCATTGCTAGACACCAGGAATCACGCAGCAGTAATTAGTATCTCTGGAACCAGAGTCCCACCAGAGTACTGCAGAGTGTGGAATTCACAGAGCCCTGGGACCCTGCCAGGAAGGAAGGCTGAGGAAGAAGAACCACGGTTTGGGGCATAGGTTTTGTCTGTCTGTCTGTCTGCTTGAGTGTTTCTTTTTGAGATGGAGCGTTCCTAAGTCCCTGGAGCTGGCCTCCAGTTCTGGGGGACTCCAGTGACAGTCCTGCTTCCGCCCCCCGAGTTGCTGGAGTACTGGCATGGGCCACCATGGGCAGCACTTGCTCAATCTCTCTTCCTCACATTTACACCAGAAATTAGGTGTGAGGAACCATGTGGAGACAGAGTGAAGTTGGTGAGCTTTGAAAGCATGCAGGCCTCCTCCACACACGCACACACCTCCCTCATTCATCTTGAGAAATCATCCCTGGCCACACAGAGGCTCCGCCTGGAAGGGGTGAAGAACCCCCAAGGTCAGCAAGGCGGTGTGGGCAGAGCAGGGAAGACCTGGCCTTGCCAGGGCTTTCTGTGCTGTGAGGAGTCATCCCTGCTCATTCTAGACCAGCCTCTGGTCTTCCAGGCTCCACTGCGGGAGCCACCTCTGACCTCACTCTCACTAACTCTCCACATCTCTTCTTACAGCCCCAAAACATGGCGGGGGGGAAGACTGCTACTGTGGCCCCAGTGAACAGCGCTTGCTTTGGGTCTCTGCACATGAGAGCTCACAGGACAGAAATTAGAGTGAAACCACAGGAAGGGTGTCAATTGTACTCTCCCCGGAGAAGCAGGAGCTAGGCTAGGCCTGGAGAGTCCTTCCCAGACAGTGAGGGAGTCAGGGCTGGGTCTGGTGACTGGACTTGTCCTCCAGGGCCTGAATTCCCTGGGATCTGCCTGAGCCAGGAGCCTCCTTCCTTCAGCCTGGACTCCTGGGAGGCGCCTCACCCTCTTCCCCACTGGCAACCGCCATTCTGTACTAATCAGCCATGGGGGGCCAAGCTTGGGAGCCAATTAAAACAACTCAGGGAGTAAGTTTGACTTCAGTTCAGTGAATATGGAAAGCAAGTGTCATCCGTCACACCCACACCACTTGCTAACATCTCCGAAGGGAGCGCCAAGGCACTGACCCCTGTCACGGACATGGGAGGAATTTTCAAATTACTGGAGTCACCTCGTTCCTCTTGTCCTTCAGGTTTCTCGTCCAAGGACAGGCCTACAGGACGCCTTCCGGGAGAGCCTGGGCATAGCTCCTATGGGCCTAGAAAGTCCCTGCCTTACTGTAGGTGACTGCAACCTAACAGAGACTGTCAGTGTTCCTCTGTGGTATTTCGTCCCCTTGTGCTTCTCATCTGGATTACTCCTGATGTCGGGGCCCTTCAGCAATGCCTGCTGTGGGCATTGACTCATGCCCCGCAGGACTGAGAGCTGCTTTGTCTAACTGGTGGGCTCTGAGTCCTCATAAATCTGACTCTACGCTAACTCTTCAAGCCTGAGTCTCAGCATGCTGCTGATTTTATTTTCAGAGTGGTGATCTGTTACTTGCTTTGAATGTCATGCTTATTGTGCTGCTGGTCAAACTTTCCTGGATTTGCCCTTTAGAAAAAGGGCTGATTATGGGAGTGTGGCGGGAAAAAACACAAGATGAGCCTGGATCATCTATTGGAAGATCCTCAGGACATGCCGAGAAAGTAAAATATTGTAACATGAAAAGGTATAAGAATTCAGGCAACAAATGGGTGAGCAGAGTGAGCAGCTCTAAGAAAAAAATCCCAAATCAGAAATGCTCCAGAATCCAAAACTTCCTGAGGGCCGGCCTGGTGACACAGTGCAAAACTCAATTCCTGACCTCGTGGGACGGGTTGCAGTCAAAGCTCAGTGTGCCCAAATAATGTAAGATAAACTCCACTGCGGGGTCCAAGCTACGTAGGCCAGAGAAATGAATTTTGTGTTTAGACTTCCGTTTATCCAAAACATTTGCATTCATTTTTATATTTATATTATTTTTAAAAATGGAACTACTCTGAAATCTATTCTAAAAAGTCTGACATGTGAAACACTTACTTCAGATAGGGGATATGCGCCCTGTGTTGGATTATAATTCCACGTACGAGATAAATATGAAGAAGTTCCCCCTGCAGAAAACAAGTCATTGCATAAGGAAAGAAACAGAAGAAATAGACTTTCCCTGGAGAAAATGTCTGCGTAATTATGCAGAGCCTTCACCCTTGCACACTCACACCCTCAGGTGACTGAAACTCACGTCCCTGTGGGGCACCTCTCGGTCTCCAATGCCCTTTCAGTTTTGCTTTCATGCAGCGTACTTTTCCTTGGGTGAAGTAAATGCTTGTGTTTTCATACTCCCCGTGTGCGGAGCATATCCTCCAGTCAAACTAAACAGTCCCAGCTTGAAACTTTTCCTTCCTGGATTAGCTTAATAAGTTTTAAAGGTTTTATTTGGTTCAGACTCGGGTCTGTAAGAGGTGTAAGTGGCTGCAATTTAATGATTTCCATGTATAATTTCTCCCCTTCTTGTTTTCTCTCCACCCTGGCCTGTATAGAATGCCTCCATAAACTTCCGGTCTTCACTCTTCTCCTTCCCAGAATGTTGCCTTCTCTCATGTGCCAGGTTAGTTCTATTCATTTTCTCATAGCCCTAGTTATACCTTCAAATAGCTAATATTCCAGTCTTACATGTTCTTGTGTAGCATGAAAAAATGAAGAAAATATGCTTCCTTATACTTGAAAAACTATTGCCTTGTCCTAAATCTCATAATAAAATTTTAATTTTAAAATTCAAATCAATATTATATGCTAGAATTAATTTTAAAATCCCGTATGAATCATTAACATAAAAATGCAACATTATTTATTAAAATACATGAGTAGTGGTGGGAATTTAGCTTAGTTGCACCTTCCCTACCATCCCCAGTACAAAAACCTAAGAAGACATAAACAATAGATTTATCCTTGGAACTCAAAGATGGGTCAATATTCAGAAATTTATGGCCCAGGGATTTCACTCAGCAGCAACGTGCCTATGTTGCAAGTGTAAGGTTCTGAGTTTGATATCTGGGAACAGAAAAAAAAGAAGAAGAAAGGAGGAGGAGGAAGAGGAAGAGGAGGAGGAGGAGGAGGAGGAGGAGGAGGAAATTCATGAATCCCAGAACCTGCTAGACAGCCACCCATCCCCTCAGCCACACTCTGGGATCCAAGGTGCACACCCAGCCTGGGGAGCATTACACTCCAGGTCCTGTTCCTGGGGTCTCCTCTACAGGCAGAAGCAGAGGCGACAACCAACTGACCGCCTGACTGAAGAAGAGCCCAACCCCCCTGAAGAGAGTGTGGGTTCAGGACTCAGTTATTACCCTAGCACCAAGAGTGAGAGAGGAAAAGTTTGGGAGGGGTTTGGAGAGGGGAAAGCTAAACAGCAATCTCATGGGGTCCCTTGGGAGACAGTGTCTGAAATTGAGGACAAAATGGTAAATTATGAAGAAGTACTCAAAGAAGCCAGGAAAAAAAAGACCATCCAGCAGCTATTGGGTGATATAGAAAAGCCCATTTTAAAGCTAATTGGTGTTAGACAAAAGCTAGATTGTACCACAGATAGAATTTTTAATATGTTTACAGAAATCATAGCAGAAAACTCCCCCAATATAAGAGTTCAATATACAAGTAAGTGAGGCTGCCAGAACACCAACCATGATGAAAAAAGCAGCACACCAGGACATGTCCATATTGAATTGTGAGATATCCAACAAAACCCCAGAATTTAAAAAGCAATCAGAGAAAAACAACAAGAAAAATTGACATATAAAGGCAAGCCCATAAGAATTACAGCAGACTTCTGAATACAGACCTTAAAGGCCATAAGAGCATTTTAGACCCTAAGAGCAAACAATTTCCAACCTAGATGAGCTTAGCCAGAAAAGCTGTCTTCCAAAATAGATGGAGAAATAAGGACATTTCATGAAAAAGATCAGCTCAAGAGATTTATGACAATGAAATCAGCCCTCCAGAAAATATTCAAGAATATCATAGACAAAATAATGACACTATTACAGCTAAAAACCCAGAAACAAAAAAAGAAAACAAAACAAAACAACAAGTAAGGTCAATAGATAAACAACAGCAAAAATGATGTGAAAAGCAAAGCAAATGAGTCACCAAGAAAGAAATAATGCAATGACAACAAATAACCTATCTCAGTAATATCTCTCAGCATTAGTGGCCTCCCTCAATTCCCCAACTAAAAGACAAAGATTGTCAGACTGGATTCAGAAACAGATTCCAACAGTCTGTTGTATTCAAAAAACTCATCCAGTCCAAAAAGCTATTGGATGGAAAACAATATTTCATGCACCTGGAACCTAAAGCACGCAGGGTAGCAATGTTAATCTCAGACTTAGTAAGCTTCAAGCTAAAAATAATTAGAAGAAACAAAGTTCACTACATACTACTTAAGGGAACAATCCAACAAGGAGAGATACTGTTTATAATATTTATGCACCAAATACAAGGGCAGCTATCTTCATAAAACAAATACTGCTGGACATAAAAGTTCAGATAAATACTAACATGATCATATGGGGGATCTTAATTCCCTAGTCACCAAAAGGGATATATCAACTAAATAAAAAATGAATAAAGAAATATCAGAGTTGCACCACACCTCTGAATGTATGTATTTAATAGATACCTACAGCATTCCACCCCACTACAACTGAGTATTCATTCTTTTCTTCAGCACATGGTACTTTTTCCAAAATTGATCACATACTAGTCCAAAAACCCTGTTTAAATAAATACAAAAGAATTGAAATTATCTCATGTGTATTATTAGACATCTTTGCAATGAAGATAGAACTCAACAACAGAAGAAATCAGGGCAAAGGTAGAAGTACTGGAAAACTTAACAGTATGCTCCGAAATCACCAACGAGTCACAGAAGAAATCAAAGAAGAAATTAAAAATTTTTGGAAGTTAGTGATAATGCCCATACAACTCACCAGAACCTATGGGACACTATGAAAGCAATAATGTGAGAAAAATTCACTACAATCAATTATCACATTAGGAAAATAGAATGTGTTTAAATAAATAATCTTATTAGGTATTTAAATAAATAATCTTATGAGGAATCTTGAGAGACTTGAGAAACAACAATAACCCAGGCCCAAATCAAAATTAAAGAGGGAAATTATAATGATTATAGCAGAAACCAATAAAACTGAGACTAAAAAAATCAATGATTTGGAAAGCTAGTTCTCTGAAAGAATAAACAAAATAGATAAGCCCTAACTCAGACTTACTAAAAGAAACACAGAAAAGACTCACATTAATGTGATTAGAAAAAAAAAGGTGAAATCTAAACAAATACTGTTGAAATCTGGAAAATAGTAACTATTTCAAAAAATTTTATTGTAAAATATCATCAAATTTTGAAGAAATGGAAGATTCCTAGACACACAAATTACCGAAGCTAACTCAGCAGGACAAAAAAATGATGAACAATCCAATAGCAAGCAATGAAACAGAGACAGTAATAAAGCATCTGCCAACTCATAAAAGACATGATGGACCCGGTTGAATTCTATACGATTTATAAGGATGTTATATCGCAAATACTCCTTAAGCTCTTCAAAGAAATTGAAAGGGATGGAATGCTTCTAAATTTATTTATGGAAGCCAGACGTGGTGGCACATGCCTTTAATCCCAGCACACAGGAGGCTGAGGCAGGAGGATTGCTGTGAGTTTGAGACCAGCCTGGGGTATATAGTGAATTCCAGGTCAGTCTCAACAAACAACAACAACAAAAAATTATTTATGGAAGCCAGCATCACCTTGATTCCAAAATTGGACTAAGATCCAAATGAAAAATAAAACCACAGGCTAATCTTCCTAATGAACATAGAACAAAAATTCTCCACAAGATATGAGTAGAATACAACACATCACCAAAAAGATCATACATCATGACCAAGTAGCTTTCATCCCAGAAATGCAAGGATGGCTCGACATACACAAATCAAAAAATGTAATACAAAATATGACCATATCAATAGAATCAGAAAAGGCTTTCAAAAAATCCCACACTCCTTCGCGATAAGAACCCTGAAAAGAATGGATATAGAAGGACTGACCAAACTTGAATTTGAGAAAACTATTTATGACAAATCAACAGCCAACATCACATTAAGCGGTGGGGGGCCCTATAAGCACTATCTCTAAAATCAGGAACAAGATAAAGATGCCCACTATCACCACTTCTCTTTAACAGAGTACTTGAAACATCAGAGCAATCAGTCAAGAGAAAGAAATAAAAGGGATGTGCATACACATATGAAACAAAGAATTCCAATTATTATTTGCAGATGACATGATACACTTCATAGATGACCTAAAGAACTCCTAGAATTAATAGCCAACTTCAGCAATGTACTAGGTGAAAAGATCAATGCAAAAAAATTATTAGCATTTGTTTATACCTATAACGAACTCCATGAGAAGACAATTATGAAAACAATACCATTCATGGTGGTTTCAAGAAAAATTAAATACCTAAAAATTAACTTCAAGTAGGAAGTGAAGGACCACTACAAAGAAAACTAGAGTACTCTGAAAAAGGAGACTGGAGAGAACATCAGAAAAATGGAAATAGGTCAAGAGGCTGAGGCAGGAGAATTGCTGAAAGTTCGATGCTAGCATGGGGTACATTGTGAGTTCAAGACCAGTAGCTAGAATTACAAAGGAAGACCTTGTCTTCAAATTAAAAAAGAAAAGAAAGAAAAGCAAGTATAAATTTATTCCCTGCTCTTGGATGAGCAGAACAAATATTGTACAAATGGCCATACTCCCCAAAATGTAATAAACTTTCAATGCAGTTCCAGTCAAAATACAAATGCAGGGTACTGGAGCAAAAGCAACTATGCAGATCAGTGGAACAGAACACAGGATTTAGAAACATCCCCAGACATATTCAGCTACTTGATCTTTGAAAAAAGGATCACAAGTATACATTTGAGGAAAGATAGCCCATTCAATAAGAGTTGCTGAGAAAGCTGGGTAACTACAGAAGATTGAAACTGGACCCTTTTCTCTCGCCATGTACTAAATTAAAATCAAAATGGATCAACAATGTAAACATTAAGCAGAAATACTGAACCTATGGGAAGATAAAAGAGGACTGGGATGTAGCTCAGTTGCATGGTACCTGCCTGGCAAACATGAGGCCCTCAGTTTGATTCCTGCTACAAACAAACAAAAACAAAACAAAACAAAAAACCAAAAAGATAAAACACCTGAAGTCATGGATGTAGGCAAAGATTTTCTAAACAGAAACACAATTTCACAAGAAATAACAGTAAGAATCAACAAATGGGATTCCATGAAATCAAACAGCTTGTGTACAGAAAATAATCAATTAGTAGAGTGAAGAGACAGCCTAAAGAATGGGAAAAAATTTCCAGCTGTTCCTCAGACAGAAGACTAATATCTAGCATATATAAGGAACTCAAAAAAATTAGGCCACATAAAATAAAATATCCAGTCAAAAAATGGGCAGGTGAAATGAACAGACACTCCACAAGATCGAAGTACAAACGGTCAACAAATACAAAAAAAAAAAAAGAAGTTCAACATCTCTTAGAGAAATGCGAATCAAAACAACACTAAGATGTTATCTTACACCAGAAAGAATGGCAATAATCAAGAAAGCAAAAATAACAAATGCTAGCGAGGCTGTGGTAAAAAAGGAACCCACCTGCATCGTCGGTGGGTATGTAAACTAGTACAACCTTTATGGAAATCAGTATGGAGATTTCTCAAAGAGCTAAAATTAGAAATTCCATGTACTCAGCTGTCCCCTTCTAGGTATTTTCCCCAAAGAGCTTAGAACATCATACTACAGCAATGTATGAATACCAATGTTTATAGCAGCATGATTCATAATAGGTAACTCCTGGATGCAGCCTGTGTGCACATCAACACACAACTTGATAAAGAAAATGTGGAATGTATACATAATGGAATACTACTCAGCTATAACGAAGGACAAATCTGAGACATTTGTAAGAAAATGGGTGCACCTGGAAAGCACAATGTTGAGTGAAAGAAACCAGGCCCACAAGCTTGAACACTACATGGCGTCACTCATTTGAGTATAAGCAAAAAGCTTAATACAGGATGGATAGAAAGTAACAAGGGAGAGATCTCTTGCAAATACGAAGGGGTTCAAGAGACTAAGGGCATGGGGCAGTGGAAGGGGAAATGGGTTGAATAAAGAGTTGCCCTGGACAGGGACCTACGAAGCTCAGTGGATGTTATTATCCAAACACATGCTGGGATTAGTAATATCAACGAGAATGAAAATGGGAAAGGAAGATTTAAAGAAGAGGGGGAGTCAAGAGGATTTGAAAAGAAAGAAGCTGTGTTACGCACATGTACCCACTTGCCAAGATGACTGTAAACTGCACGAACTGCAAAGTTGGACTAATAAAAAAATCAACAAAAAGGAAATCAATTAAGATGTTTTAGTATATTAATATGCCTAAGGAAATACTATATCTTTATCTGCTTGAATGGTGACAGATTGCAGAAACTCTCAGTTAAAACACACAAGGAAAGAGGAATTTGTTCTTGTTGCCTTAACATTTTAACATATGCATACTTATCTTCCAAAGCCAGCATTTTATTTATTTAATAACGAATCACTGAAGACATTTGCACTGAACTCACTAAACTCAGTAAGAAGATGAGAAAATCTAATGTCACCAGTACTATTTAACACTGTAACTAAAATATATACCAATGCAGTTAATAAGACTAATAGAATTGGAAAATGAAGAGCAAAACTATCTGTATCTCTAGAGGGGCAGACTTAATATAAATTATGTACTTACACAAAGGGATTTTTTAGGTAGGCTTACAGGAACTGAAGTGGAAGGGTCACAGAGGCCACCTGCAGGATTGGGGCAGAAGAATCCCAGATGGCCGTCTGTACCCTGGGGAGCTGGAGGACTCAATAAGGTCAAAGGTCAAAGACCTGGAAGCTCATGGTAGAGTCACCAGGGAAAGTCTGCATCTGCACCCTGAAGAAATGGGACATCAGTGTCCAAAGGTAATGGTGAAGAGCAGAGCTCTTCCAAATGAGAAACATCTCCTTTCTCTTTGTGTTCTGACCTAGCCATAAGCTTCTACCAATATCCAGCGTAAGTCTTGCCCTCGCCTTTTGCTGGCCTACATGCCTGTCATCCACAAACAAACCCTGGGCTTACTAATTTGCTAGACAGTTCTTACTCAAGTCAAACTGACAGAGCACAACTGACAATCACATTATCTTTATATACAGATGATGGAAAAGTACAATTGAAGATTCTTTGAGAAACAGCTGTAAAATTAAACCAGTAATTGGAATAATTCAGTAAGATCAGGATGTACAGTTAACAAATAGTAATCAACAGCCTCTAAATACAAAAAATAGCTGTGAGATAAAGTGTTAAAGGATATATAGATAGAAATATAAAATAAGAAACACATTGGAACAGAACTGTGTGCTTCCAAGAAGCTCATTCAAGAACAGCAGGATACATGGAAAGAAAAGCACATCAGTACACAGTGTAGGCAAAACACTGACAACCACAACCGATAAGAATTTTTTTTGATGGTGCTAGAGATGGAAGCCAAGGTCTTCACACTGAGATAGATCCCCAGCGTTTTCTATTTTTCTTTATTTTGAGGTAGGGTCTTATAGTTTCAAGGATCGGTCTTCACTGCAGGCCTCTTGTCTCAGCCTCCCAGAGGGCTGAGATTACAGACATGTGCCACCTTGCATCACTTCAATCAGAGAAACTGGGCAATAGCAAGAGAGACTTGACTCACAGACGGGTGTGGGAGACTGCAATAGTCATTCTGCTTGAAGCAGGCTGTAGACAGTGCAGTCTGTAAAGAGTTCATTCACAATCAGTTTCTTTGGAGGCGGAGGTCCCGGGGATTGAACTCAGATCCCTGCGCTTGCAAGGCAGGCCACCAAATCGCTGAGCTAAATCCCCGGCCCAATCGGTTTCTTTATAGAAGTGAGTCCTGCCAAAGCCTACTTGCCGCGATCAGAGTAACTCGCACCCGAATTCCACTCACACAACTAAAATCTTCAGACTAGAAGGACAATGTTGTAATTACAACTGTATATTTTGTCTATTCTGTTCCTAATTCAAGAAAGCTTTGTCTTTTCCTTTTGTAAGCCTTGCCTGTGTCAATTTCCATAGAAACTGCACAATTGCATGACCTCACATGTACTTTGCCTTTACCCCAATTGATGACCAATAAAAATCAGTGGCTTGGCTGGACCAGCGCCTTTGGATAAAGTACCATTGGCCATCCTGGCTCTCCATTTTCTGTCTCTCTTACTTCTGTCTTTTAGTTTTTTGTTTTTTGTTTTTCTGCAGGATTGCATCAGGCTTTGGAAAAATTTGATAGAAGGAGTGGTTTAAAGGACAGAAAAATAGGGCCAGGGATTTAGCTCAGGTCAGTGGTTCCACTGCCTGCCTCTTCAGCGCAAGGACCAGAGTTTGATCCCCGGTACCAAAAAAGAAAGAGAGGAAGAAAGAAAGGAGGGAGGGAGGGAGGGAGGAAGGAAAGAAAGAAAGTGGAAAGAACAGGAAAGGAAAGAAAAGAAAGAAAGAAAGAAAGAAAGAAAGAAAGAAAGAAAGAAAGAAAGAAAGAAAGGGCAGAAACGGTCTTCCTCTCGCTTCTGGGGGCCAGGCGCACGGTCAAGGCCCTGACCTATTCTGTGAGTCTGGAGGACTCTTCTCAGCTTGCAGATGGCCCCCTGCTTGCTAAATCCTCACGTGACCCGCCCAGCCTGTGCTGCAGTACACATGCGCGCACACGCGTGCGCGCGCACACACACACACACACACACACACACACACACACACAGGACGGATGTAGCTAACACTGGTTTCTGTTCTCAAAGGAACGTGAAACTATTGGATCAAATCCCTGTACTGCGTCTCCCTTTGACCTTAGCCATTTATTCTGAGTCCCTATCTCCAACCACACCAGGGATTGTGGCTTCAATAGCTGAAAGTAGGCTTTTGAGCAAATACAAGTATTCATGCCACTAAATGTACCGCATGGCCGATCAGTCCAGCACTTACATATTTATCCAAGTGAAACAGCAAGTTACACTCACAAAACCCTCCCAGCAACTGTTATAGCAGCACATACATGAGCCGTCAGACTAGAAAAATCTTCAATGTCCTAGAAACGATGAACGGATTAACAAATGGTAGCCTCTCAAAATCATGAGCTATTACTCTGCAGTAAAGGTGGCCACATGATGGATTCACAAATACCAGGGATTGCTGGAGGCTACAGTCTGGTAGGGTTTACCTCAAAGTGCACCAGGGAAACGCTCTGCAGGGATCGAACTGCTCGATACCTTGTCTGTGAGGCAGTAATACGGGATGCATTTCTCAAAACTCACAGAACTGAATACTAAAATGTGTGATTTTTACAAATATACAGTCTACTTAAGCATTTAAAGTGCAATAAACATTTTGTATTATTTTATATTATGCATGTTGGGTTCTAATTTCATCACTTTATTACCAGAATATATGGCATACAAAGTGTCTATTTCAGGGAATTTTAAAGACTTTTGTTACAAACACTAAGGTGCTGAATATGAATTAGTTAATATACCCTGAGACTAGCAAACATGTTTATATTATGCACGTAACTGTATCCTGTTATCAGATAGCTATAATGCCATCATAACCACATATGCATAATTTTATATATGTGTATTTGTTTGCATTTTTATATCCTATTTTTATTTGAAAATTCAAATCCAGAAGAATCACTATTTGTGCTGTTTTGAAAGATGCTTTAGCACTCCAGTAATACAGATTTAGTAAAATTTTCTCTATTTCGAAAAGATTGTACCTTTTTATTTTGTGCTTGTTAATATTTTTCATATGGTTTTTCAATTTGTAAAATATTTCTTATCATCAGCATGCCCTTCCATTTCTTCCTGTCACTAATTTTCCAGGCTACGGGTACAATAAGAAAGGGAAAGGTGAATGTCCAGCACTGTGCCCTAAGTATCTGCAGAAGGAACTGAGTTTCTTCTGATCTTGTTCTCTGTCCAGACAGATTGCAAAGGACACACACTTGCCTGTGTCCCTAATGAGGACCTCAGGGGCTCACCCCAGGGGCACCAGACTTGGCGACGGTCCTCTCGGGAATCCTGGTCTCCAGGCTGGGAGGATCTGCCTGTTCGACCCGGTGTTCCAAGCTCGACCCAAGAGAGCCCTGCATCTCTTTAGAAGTGTCCCCCTCTGCGAGAGGAGGACCCTCAGTGCTCGGCCCGGCTGTGAAGCCCCGTCCTCCCAGATCTGCGGGGAGCCCCACAGCAGGGACTTCCTGAAAGTGCGTACCGGGCACCCAGAGCAACCGGGTGAGAAGGGTGGGAAGACAGGTGGGGCCCGGCCACCTCCACAGCAGCCTGGGTCACAGGGCCACAGAGGGAGGCTGGAGAACAGCCCCACTGAACCCCTGCGCCTCTGACACAGGCGAAGGGGGACGCGTCTTGGCCTGATGTGTACAAGCCTTTTTCTGTTGGGTTGTGCTGTCCCAGAGAAGGAACAAGTACATTTCCAAAGCAGACAGGCAGGGAGTGGAAAAGGCAGGAGACGACTGGACTTACTAGAACTGTGACTGCAGGCTGGGAACAAGTGCGCCCTGAGCCAGGGTCTGGAGCCTCTGCTCCCACAGACCCAAACGACAGGCCCTCGGCCAGGCAGGCCAGATCCCTGCGCCTGGTCTCCGCCTTTGTGAACAGCCGTTTCCCTGTGCGCATCCAGCGGGGTTTGTGATTGCATAATAAGGGGAGACCATGGTTAGGCGACTTGGGTGCCCCAGGAAGGGACATGGACTTGGACCTGAATCCAGAGACAGAGCGGCCTCTGTTTTAAGGTTCAGGGGCTACAAGCACTCAATGACGCCAATATCCATCTCCAGGGGCTCAGAACAGTCACAAGCCAGGTAGCTCGCAGAGATGAAGGCATGAAAGCAGACATTAAATCCCCCAGACTCACGGGTCTTGTCCAAGGCAATGAAAGGAGCAACTCTGTGGGGAAGCCACACGGGAAGCAGAAGCAACGCTGGGAGATGGGCAGTGAGCATCCAGGGAGGTCAGCGTGAGAAGAATCAATTCATGCTCTCGCCATGGAGGAGGACTTTCACTGCAGATTGCTGAGAAGACAGCGTCTCCTTCCCCTGCGATCCCACAGGCCACCCAGCATGGGCACCAATCAGAGGGTAGCGTGAGTGGAGCTTGAAGGAGCAATGACAACACAACAGGACAAACGCCCCTTCTCTGTGACCACCTGGGAACCTGTGTGTCCTGAGGACAGGTACGGACACCCCACGGTCAGCGCCCTCTCTTCTTTTCTTGAGAACATGTTGCACCTCCCCCTCCCTGGCCTTCAGTCACCAACTGTGCAAGAAGTCTCTCTCTGTGCTAATTCTGCTCTGCCTGCCTTGGTTCTGGGAGTGAATTCAGGGACAAAGAGATTTCACATCTCAGCACTTTGCCCTTAATTTCACTAAATTAACCCTATGGTGGCAGTCACCTCATGGTCCCTATAAAACTGTACATCCTATAATCAAATTCTTCAAGGAAATGCCCGAGGTATCCTCTGCCCCTTGGGCCACTTCACAGAGCTGTCCTTGCTTCTTTCTCTTCCCTTTTTCGCAGGCTTTTTGCTTGACCAAGGAATGCAGCTCGTCTCCTTTTCTTTCTCACTGTTTTTATGAATTCTTCAAGGGACACCGCAGTAATAATGTGTTACCTGACCCCCGCCTATGATGATTTCTTAATAACTGAGATTATCTTTTGATTATACTGCCTGAATTTGCTCTTTATCATTCAGTAAACCATTTCATCCCAGATCCAAAAGAGTCCAGGTACAACGAGTCTGCCTTTCTGCCTCGCCAGCAAAAAGCAGGGGACACCACATCTAGCAGCCTCAGTGGCAGGCTCAGGGCAGCAGAGCTAGCAGCTGGACATATGGTGACAACCTAATGGCAGGGAGACAGTGAGGACAGTCCACTAGGCAAGACTATTATAGCCCACAGACGTTATGGCTATAACATTACTCAATAAATTCACTCAGTTTTAGATAATTGTTAACCAATGAATAAACTGTTCCAAATTGTATGATTTTGCTCAAATGTTGCCACAAAATCTTGCTGCATGAGGACACATGTTCCCCACAGACATGGACGGGGACAACCACACTACAGTCACAGAATTCCTCCTCCTGGGACTCTCTGGACAGCAGGAGGAGGAAGATGCCCTCTGCGGGCTGTTCCTGTGCCTGTACCTGGTCACCATCCTCGGGAACATTCTCATCGTCCTGGCCATCAGCTGGGACCCTCACCTCCACACGCCCATGTACTTCTTCTTGGCCAACCTCTCCATTGTGGACATCTGCTTCTCATCGGTCACAGTCCCCAAGATGCTGGTGAATCACGTGGTGGGGAGCAAGTCCATCTCTTACCCACAGTGCATGACCCAGATCTACTTCTTCATCACATTTGGCAACATGGACGGGTTCCTCCTGAGTGTGATGGCCTATGACCGCTATGTGGCCATCTGTCGCCCACTGCACTACACCGTGATCATGAGGCCCAGACTCTCTGTCCTGCTGGTGGCCGTCTCCTGGGTCATTACCAACCTGCATTCTCTCCTCCACACTCTGCTGATGGTCAGACTCAACTTCTGTTCCAACAACACTGTGTGCCACTTCTTCTGTGACCCCTACCCTCTCCTGAAGCTCTCTTGTTCTGACACCTTCATCAACGAACTCATGGTTTTCACTGTGAGTGGATGGGTATTTATGACACCGTTTACGTGCATTGTTGTATCATATGGCTACATCTTCTCTAAGGTGCTGAAGTTGCCCTCAGCCCAGGGGATAAGGAAAGCCCTGTCCACGTGTGGGTCCCACCTCACTGTGGTCTCCCTCTTCTATGGGGCAGTTCTGAGGGTCTATATGCACCCTTCATCCTCCTACTCAGTGCAGGACACGGTGGCCTCTGTCATCTTCACTGTGGTGACCCCACTGGTCAATCCTTTCATTTACAGCCTGAGGAATCGGGACATGAAAGCAGCCCTCAGGAAGCTCATTCTCAGATCCCAAACCTAGAAAATGTTAGCGCTTAAGGGAATGGTAAACCTCATATATTACTTCTTTACACAAACAGAGAAAATGACACCCAAACAGGCAAAACTCACTCATGACTCCTCCTGTAATTAGTAATATACGATCAGAGTTATGCTTTAAAATTTGAGGCTTACAAATTCTCAGAGTCATGAGACCAGTACTTTGCTACCTATAAATGGGTCTCAGTCTAAGATACTCACCAAAAAGATAAGAAAAATTGAGACTCAGAGATTTTGGTGTCCATGCTTTTGGGGGGATGTGGGAACCCCCTAAGACACTGGTCACAGTTATCTGAATTCCAGAAGACTCAGGAGCTGAATCTCCTCAGAGTCCCTGCCCTCCATGGCCTCACGTGCCATGCTACACTAATCCTGGTTACCACTCCCAGGAAGGTTTACTTGCCCGGGCCACATAACTCCTCACTGCTGCTTGTAGATTATGTGCACACTTGGGTCTTCGCCATTCTTCCTCTGCCCCAGGTTCCAGCTCCTGCCCATTCTTCTCACAGCTCTGAACATTACTTTCTACTTAATTTTTTATCCCCAACTTGACTTTTTGGTACTGTTACTCAGAGCTATCAGGAAGCCTCAGGGACAGCTCTCCTTTGGAGAGGACTCATTCAGTGTTCAATGGGCCAGAAGGACAGGATCTCTTAAAGCTGACATGTGGAGAGTCCCATAGCCCCTCAGGGACATGGGGTCAGGAATTCATTGCAGGACTGGGATTGAAATCAACTGAACTTGTGATTGTCTGTCCAGAATTTGTTCCGCCCTCTCTGTGAAGCCTAGGGTCCGATCCAGGCCTTTTCTCCTATGGCACAACTGAGGAGTCAGGGCCTAGGAGAACAGGTCCCACCATCTCTTTATTGGTGTCCTCTGCATCTTCTGTAGAAGCTGCTGTTGGCCCCGAGCTGGCCCCAGCAGATGCCAGAGGAAGCTGGGAACAAACTTAGTAGTTTCCCCAACACGGAATTCTTACCTCTGTCATCTCACTGGAAGATGTATTGCTCCTTGTCCAAGTGCCACTGAAGACTGTCTTGCCGCTGCTTCCAGAGACACACGTGTCCCTGAGAGCACTGCTGCTCACATCCGTGTCAGACACGGAACCTGCTGTTAAACATGTTCATGTTTCCTCCTGCTGAGCTTTTTGTTAAAGGAAACTTCTCCCATCTGTATTACAAAAAGGTAGTTTATTTTCTCCCTCCAGCAAAATTGGGATGTGATGTTTACTAGACACCAAAAATTGGAGCAGTAATATTTAGAATCTGGCGGACATAAGAATTTACAGAGATATTCCACGATGTGGAAAGATGTAACTGAATTCTAGGACTTAGCTAGGGAGGAAATTGAAGAGAAACAGCCATGGTTTGGGATATAAATTTATTGCTTGGTCTCTCTTTGCCTCAGCTGTTAGCCAAAAGCTGTGTGGGAAGGAGAGGAGCCAACCGGAAGGGAGTCAGTGAACTTAAAGGGCACAGAGGCAAAGGGAAAATCATTCTGCAACCACACAGTTCCCCAGTTCATCCCGGCCATTCAGAAGTCTGACTGAAATGGGGAAGAAAGCCCTGCTGGATCTGCAGCTGGCTGTGGGCAGAAGAGCAAAGGACTGTGCCAGAGGAGGCCTGTGAGGGATTGTGTGCTGGTCCTTTCCGCATGAGCCTCAAGTCTTCAGCCTTCTACTGGTGGGAACCATGTACCTCATCATCATCAGTGACTCCCTTCATCTCTTCTCATGGCCCAGTGCCAGGAGGACAGGAAGGACTGCTCCAGGGGCCCTGATGTGGGCCTTTACTTACGGCACACTCACAGGACATGAATTGATCAGAAATTATAGCAAAGCATCATGAGAGGTCTCTCGTGCGCTCTCCCCGGGGATGGCCAGGAACTCAGGATTGTGTCTGGTGATTTCTCCTCCAGAACCTGAGTTCCCAGGGAGCAGGTCCATTCCAGGAGCCTCCTTCCTGCAGCCTGAACTCCTGGGAGGTGCCTCACCCTCCGCCCACAGCTAATTTCCATCCAGTACTCAGTCAACAAGAGGGTCAACTCTTGGAGAGGCAACTGAGCAAAGTGAGAAGCATGCCTTTGGCTCAGAGACTGCTGTGGTAGAGGGCCATGCCTCCTCCCTGTACAGAACCCAAGTCTTGGCACTACAGAGATTTCCATGTTTCGAGGCAGTGCCTCCTAGGACTTGTCCTTCAAGTTTCCAAGGTCAGGCGTACCAAGGAGCCTAAAGGAGAGCCTAATACTGTCCCACATGAGCTGAAAAAGGCTTTCCTGCCATCTGCTGCTTATTGCAAACTTCTAGTGATAGTTGCAGTTCCCCTGTGTTTTCTCCTTTTGGTTCAGGGCAGAAGCTCAGCTTTCTAGTACTTTATTATCTGTGGTTTCAGGGGGTCATCACCGATTCTGGACCTTACCTTACGCAGCATGGAGAGCGACAGCTGCTTCATCCGATTGGTGAGCTGCAAGTCCTAATAAACCTGACTCTACCCTGACTCTTCCCCTGTGAGTTTCAGGCCAATGATCAGCCTGTTATGAAACAGGTCATCTGTTTTTCACACGTATTGCATTGCTGGTCAAAAGGAACTAGTTTAATCATTTTTACAAAGGCCTATTTCGCCCCATGGGGCAGAGAAACACCGTGAACCTGGAGCATCTTGTAATATGAAGAAGTCAGGACATATCGAAAAAGAAAACACGATAGGGACATCCAAAGAAACACAGTAGCCAGTCTGAATGAACCAATAAACATATCACATGTTGAGCACCCCTAATACTGAAATCTGAAATCAGACATTCCCCTAAATCTGAATTTTTTAGCATGCCGACATGATACCACTGTGGAAAATCGCATCCCTGACAGCAAACACAGGTATACTAAAAATACTGTCTGACATTACTTTCCCACTCTGTGCATGTGGTATATAAAAGACAGGAACGAATTTCAGAAGTGAACTGGGGTTCCGTCTCCAAGGCATCTCATTACAAATCTGCAACTATTCCAGAATGTGAACAGTCTGAAAGCCAAACCCTTCTGGTTCCAAGATGGTTGTTAGGGATACTCAGACTGTACTGGATGATAACTCAGAGGGTAAAATAAGCATAAATATGTGCAGGTGGATGAAAACAATTGAATAAACAAATAAATGAAAAAGAAAGAGCACACTTTTCTTGCTAAAAATTTCCATATGTAGATACATGGTATGATCACAAAGTATTGTGAATGTTCAAAGTTTTAAAAATGTATTATAGAAAAAGACACATTATCTTTAATAATCCTCAAAAAATGCCTTGCTTCAACTCTACCTGTTCTGTTGTCCTTGGCGGTTTCTGAAGCAGTTCTTGCTGACCTGCAGATGTCCCCTCGTGACCTTTCTTCCATGCCTGTCCTGAAGGGCAGTGAGGGACAGAGGAAGAAGGACAACTCTGGCGTTGCTCTTTCTGTGCTGCTCCCCTTACGCTTTCCTTTGACCTCGATGACTTCTTTTGGGTCTTGATCTCCAGATGCAGGTGCACTGAGGGTTGTGACTATAACACAGGAATTGGAGAGGAACACAAGCATTCAGCCTGTAAAGTGTACTATCTGACCCCTCAGCTCTGGCCCCCGACAGTTATCCAAGTGGAAGAGCAGGTTACATTCACAAACACCTACACACAGTTGTTACAGCAGATTCACCTGCAATACATAAAACTAAAAACAGCCCCAATGTCCTTGAGCCTATGAGGGAATTAATGAATGGTGGTAGTTCAAAATAATTAAATATTACTCCAAAATAAAAATGATCACCCTACTGACACATAAATACCAGAGATTACAACAGGCTTGAGTTTGGATAAGAGTTAAATACAGGGTACAAGGTGAATTCTTTGTACACGATTCAACTCTTTGATATCTTGACTTGATGGAAGTTACAATACTGCATACATTTGTCAAAATTCATAGACCTATACACTAAAAGGAATGATTTTTATTGAATAGAAAATATACCTCAAAATTTAAAAAATCAAACAAAACCTCTTTTTTTTTTAAATTGTATTTGCTGGGTTCTTAATTCATTCCTCTTTGACCAGAATATGTGCCATGTAACATGTATATTTGAGGGACTTTTAAAGAGTTTCAATATAACCAATGAGATGTTCAATACTAGTTCATATAAATGAAGCTTAATGGAAATATATATATAATAAACATTTTAACATCTATGGTGCAATTATGAGTATGTCCATAAATGTGTGCATGCATTTTATCACATCTTTATATCCCACCTTTTATTTTGGAAATCAAATCCCTTGCTATCTGTATTTCTACTGGACTACTAGAAAGATTGAATATTGAGAAATACTTTAGTATTCTAGTAGATGTATGGATTTAGTAAAAGACTTCTTGTGCGCCTACATTTTCACATTTTGGTTTTGTGCTTTACATTTTCACATGGCTTATCAACTGGTAAAACACTTTCTAGATGAAACACATCCCTCTCTCTTCCCTCCTCTCATGATTTTTCAGGGAATAGACCAAAAGAAGGGGAGTTGTGATGGGTGATTGATTTGTCAATTTAAGAAGTTTAGTTAAGAGAAGCTTAAGTAAATTGGCTCAGCACCTCTGCCTGCTAGGTGTGGAAGGCCCCCCAGGGCAGCTGCTGGCACAGATGGCATAAGGGCAGTGAGGGAGGAGGGGTCTGCTTCTGCTTCCTCAGAAGAGCTCCAGTCTTCGTCTGCACCTCGGATGGCATCTCCTGGTTTCCAGCTCAGGCTCTTCGACTTCCGGCGTGGATCCCTAGCCCTCTGGCCAGAACTCTTTAACCTCTGTCACAGAGCCTTCGGTCTCCCCATACTGACTCACACGGGATGCTACAGTGAGCTCCAGACCTTTGACTAAATCCTTTGGTCTCCAGTGTGCACACAGACACTCTGCACCCTTCCTCATCAGACTCTGTGGGTGGACACTGTAAGCCCATTTTGGAAATTCATATGTGTTTGTATATCTTGTGTTATATCTGTTTATCTAGTAAATGCTGACTGATAACAGCAGTTTAAAGCTCCAGATTGTATAGCAAGTATTTGCATAAAACTGAGTTTCTAACAGCGTATATTCTGAGTCCAGAGAGAATTCGGTAAGGCACAATTAACACTGGTCCTCCTGAGGGAGGATACCCAGACCAGCAGTGGTCTTCAGGGAAATCTCTGACTCCGGCAAAAGGACCAGGGAGGATCTATTTATTTGCACCCAATCATAAAGTCTTGGATCAGAGAGCCTCTCCTACCCCTCTGAGAAAAGGCTGCACTGTCTCAGCCCCGCTGGGAATTTCCCATCATCCAGACAGAGACGAGCATGGAGCTGGCAGAGATGGGAATTTCCTGAGAGCACCTGCCAGGGACAGAGCAGCCAGGTAAGAAGGGTTGGGAAGGCAGGTGAGGCTGAGCCACCTCTAATGGCAACCTGATTCACAGGGACACAGAGTGACATTTGCAAAAGCAGCCATGAAATCCCTCTGCACGTAACCCAGCTCAAAGGGGAAACATCTCTTGGTCTGGCGGGGACAATCCTTTCTGTGGGAGGATGTGCTGTCCATGCTGGACCAGCAACTGTGATTCTGACTTGGAAACAGGAAGTAGGGTGTGGTGAGGAAGGAGAAAATGGGCTTGGCTGACCCAGGAGCAGGGGCTGCGAGCTATAGCTCAACTTGGCCAGAAGTTCAGACCCAGGAGCCTGCATTCCCAGAACCAAAGAGAGACTCCTGCGCCAGCTGTGCAGGGCCCTCCTGCTCTGGCCCTAATCCCCACCTTGGCGTTACGTCATGCTCCACACTCCGTGATTGCAACGGCGCCATGGATGCCATTCTGAGCCCCACGGAGGGGGTTTGTCCTGGACAGGAATCCAGAGACTGTGCCGTCTTTGCTGGAGGAGGACACAGGTAGGCAGTGATGCAGGCATGGCGGGCGGCTCACACACAGTCACACACCGTGTGACTCACAGAGATCAATGCGTGAAAGCAGACATCACCATATTTAAGTTACAGCAACAGAGGTGCCGCTAAGAGCGTGTCTCCCTGCGTGGAAATGTGAATCAAAGTCCAGAAGATGGGGCGAGTACCCAATTCGAGTGAGAGGAAGGAAGGGCAGGACCTACCACGATGGAGCAGGTTCCTGCAGACCCTCGAGATGCTGGGCCTTGAGCTCCGAACCATGAACCAGGCGTGAAGGGGTGCCGTGATTCTCAGGAGCTGACCGTGCCAAGGCCACCCCGCTTCTCCGTACAGACACTATCCCTAGAGAGGGCAGAGAACTGGAGCTTGACGTTCTCCTTATTTGACCTTAGAAGCAATTCAGTACAACAGAATAGATCTCCTGGACAGCCTGTTCCTCCTTGTTGTCTCTCTCTTGCTGGAAAACTGCGTGTTGTAAACATGAGAACATTGACATCTCGCAGTAATGACATTCTCCTCTTACTCTTAATGATGGAACCCACCTCAGCCTCCTTAACCCTCACTCAGCTTGGAAGTTCTCCATCACCTGTGCCTCGTCACGAACACCTCCAGTTTGCGCTGACACTGCTCTGCCTACTTGCTTCTGGGAGTTGACCCAGGTTGAAATGATCTCACGCCTCAGCACTTTGCTGGGATTAATTTCACTAATTTAACTCACACAGGCAGCCATCTCATCCCCATTACATAGGAAAAGGGTGATGGAAAACTGTGGTGAATACTTTTAAATATTTCAAAAATGTATTACAAGAGAAGACACAGGGCCAAGAGTCGTGGGATAAATGTGTTGGAAGCAAGAGGGAATATTTTCAGAAATAATGGCAATGTGTCTATTACTCTACTTATTTTCTAGTTCGGACATTCACTGTATTTTTGAGCACCGCACATGTCCTGGAAGCAACGTCCTGCAACGATTCCCTACGGCATCCTCTGCTCCGATAGCCAGGCCTCTAAACAGAGGAGACTCCCTCTTTCTCTTCCCTTTCCTGCTGGTTCTGAGCTTCCCTCACGCATCTCCTCTGGTTTCCTGGTTAGACACCAAGAATTCCTTTGGGACCATTGCATTCGTAAGGTTTCCCTGACTGCTCTCTGGGGTCCTGGGTTCTTCTGGGATTATCTTTTCTACGTCTTATCTTTTCTCATGGATCAGTAAATCTCTTCCTCCCCAGAACGAGAGCATCCAGCTGCAGCAGTATCCGCCTGTGTCCTTCAGACCGGCAGAAAGGAGGAGGCCCACCGCACTCTACAAGCAGAGCACAGACTGAGTCAGTAGATTGCAGCTGTGAGCTGTGGCAGCTGTGCCTTAGCTGCAGGTAAAGTGCTGGGGAAAGCAACGAAAGAGGGTTTATCAAAACCAGGGATTTCCCAAATCCCAAGAAAACTGGGAAGCCACAGACCAAATGTGCATGTTCATCATGTGCTGCTGAGTGTAGAACATTTCACTTTGGTAAATTTTCAACAAATTTAAATCAAAATATAGAACAGGCACCTGACACCCTCAGCCCACAGGTTGCATGTGGGTCTGGACAGCGAGTGATGTGGGACCCAGACTGGAAACTAACACTGCTGGGTGAGTTTCAGTTGTGTTTTTCATGACAAGATTGCCTGTGCTGAAAGGACTGTTTTCTAGCACAGGGTGCAGTGCAGCAGTGGCTCTGCCTCCTGTGCCCAGCACAGTCAATCAGATAGATGCACCTGTGTCTGGCTGTGATGTGTGTCTGCGACCTGACGGGTACTTACGGTACCACTGGAAGTACTATTTCAACCCACCAAGGCATGTGTGTGCCTGTGAGGAGGAAGGTGTTGACATATAATGCTCTAATATGATGACACTTTCTTCCCCACAGGCATGGAATCCACAGACATGGACGGGGACAACCACACTACAGTCACAGAATTCCTCCTCCTGGGACTCTCTGGACAGCAGGAGGAGGAAGATGCCCTCTGCGGGCTGTTCCTGTGCCTGTACCTGGTCACCATCCTCGGGAACATTCTCATCGTCCTGGCCATCAGCTGGGACCCTCACCTCCACACGCCCATGTACTTCTTCTTGGCCAACCTCTCCAGTGTGGACATCTGCTTCTCATCAGTCACAGTCCCCAAGATGCTGGTGAATCACGTGGTGGGGAGCAAGTCCATCTCTTACCCACAGTGCATGACCCAGATCTACTTCTTCATCACATTTGGCAACATGGACGGGTTCCTCCTGAGTGTGATGGCCTATGACCGCTATGTGGCCATCTGTCACCCACTGCACTATACCGTGATCATGAAGCCCAGACTCTGTGTTTTCCTGGTGGCCGTCTCCTGGGTCATTACCAACCTGCATTCTCTCCTCCACACTCTGCTCATGGTCAGACACAACTTCTGCTCCAACAACACTGTGCGCCACTTCTTCTGTGACCCCTACCCTCTCCTGAAGCTCTCTTGTTCTGACACCTTCATCAATGACCTCATGGTTTTCACTGAGGGTAGCGTGATATTTCTGACACCATTTATGTGCATTGTTGTTTCATATGCCTACATCTTTTCTAAAGTGCTAAGGTTGCCCTCAGCCCAGGGGATAAGGAAAGCCCTGTCCACCTGTGGCTCCCACCTCACTGTGGTCTGCCTCTTTTATGGGGCAATCCTGGGGGTCTATATGCACCCCTCATCCTCCTTCTCCACAAAGGACAGAGTGCCCTCTGTCATCTTCACAGTGGTGACACCACTGGCCAATCCCTTCATCTACAGCCTGAGGAATCGGGACATAAAAGCAGCCTTGAAGAAGCTAATTCACAGGTCCCAGAATTAGGACACTTTAGAACTCAGTGCTGCTGGATGTCATACATTAATTTGTCATACAAACAGAGAGATAAGAATCCACTTGGGGCTAATACCCCTGGCTATTAGTGATCTGTGATCATGGTCCAGTTTTAAATTTGTGGATGACAGGTGCTCATGATTATAAAAACCAGTAAATTTCCTACTAATTGGGCTGTATACAAGAAAGACATTTTACAGACAAGGAAAATGAAGAATCAAAAATATTTAGCTTTCCTTCATTTTTGGGTCTAGCCAGCAGCCCCATGAGACACCAGCAACCACAGTGATCTAGGAATTTCAGAAGACTTTGGAGCTGGCTACCCTTAGTCAGAGAAAAAGATGCTACTCTTTCCTGGTAGCTGGCTCATTTGAAAGACTGACTTGTCCAGGGCTGTATAAGTTGTTGCTGTTATTTACAGAATGGTCCGATGATCTCCCCATGCTCAGGATTTGGTCTTGCCATCGTAGGTCTTTCTTCCGACCGAGACTTCAGTTCTCCCCCATCTCTCACAGATCTGGACTTACCCTTGAATGACCCCACACCACCCTAACTTCTGATGTTTTGTGACTCCGCGTGGGTTCTGGTTATGGAGGGGTGACAGGAAGTTACAGAGAGCAGCTCCTTCACTGTGGAACTGGTCATACCCCTTCGGGTTTAGATGGGCTGTGGGAAACAGAGTACCCTGAAAGCTGACATGTTCGAGTTTGTGTAGCTCTTCGGGGCGTGGAGATATGCATCCATTGTGGATTTGGGTTGGGGACCCTGGACTTCTGATTCCAAGTCCAGAATTTGTTCTGCTCTATCGGGCCCAAGCGCACGCCTCTTCCTGTTCCACACAGGAGTACCGACAAGGTCAGTTCCCGCCTTGTCCTACTCAGTCCTGACAAGGTCAGTTTCCACCTGCTTTCACTGGTGTCCAGAGCGTCATCACCTGAGTCCCCAGTGCTCACACTTCCACGGCCAGCCCCTCACTGGCCTTCCTGCCTGTCGGTCCTTCCCTTCTGGGTTCCCGCCAACCTCCTGGGCAGTCAGTGCTCACGTTCCTCAGCAGCAGCTCCTTCCTGACTGGGTTCTGCCCCTCACCAGCCCTAACCCTGATCCCACGGCTCCTGTCTCTCCCTCTACGTCTCTGTCCTCATCACAGGCTCAGTTTAGGCCTCCTCAGGCACTCACTGGACCCCAGAAGCCAATTCTAAATGAAACATGGAGGAGGACAGGAGAAGCCCACATGGGAGGGTGGGCTCAAGCAGAAAGCCTGGCATCACTTGGCCTCACACTGCCTTATACTTCTCCTCATTGACGGAAATATTTCTCACTTCAACCACATTCTCGGCAAGTCTGAAGACTCGCCTTTTTTTATAAATTCTAAAAGTGTACATTTGTCTTCAGTCCTCCATGAACCGTGTGCCTAGACATGGTAGAGCACACCATCAGGGCTCCTCAAGCTGAGTGTGGACTCCCAGGAGAGCGTGTGGTGGCAGCAGGAACCTGACTGCACAGCACCGGCTTCACGCACTTTCTGACTGCTCACATTCATCCTAGATGAGGTTCAGTGCGCTGCTTCAGTAAAACACACGGACGAGGTTTTGCTGCTTCAGGATCTGAGACTCATTTTGTCCCCATCCTAGTCTTCCCTGCATTACCCACATCTGCACACTCCTCTCACCATCCTTACATTACACTCAGTTTGGGGAAACAGCCACAGCTTATGAAGGACGGACACCCTACAGGCTCCGCAGAGTTCCTGCTCTCCTGAAGAGCCATGTATTGAGGAATACCTGATGGTACGTGAGTGTCATGGGTGAAGGAAACCAAAATACCTCTTGCTAAAACAGTGAGGATTGCCGGGGATTTAGCTCAGCGGTTTGGTGGCCTGCCTTGCAAGCGCAAGGACCCGAGTTCAATCCCCGGTACCGAAAAAAGAGGAAGAAAACATTGAGGATTGTTGAGCTGAGGAAAGTGAAAAAGCAGCAGCTTTCTCTGCCTCCCCATGCAGGAGGAAGAGTCACAGCAATAGAAGGTCTTTCTATCCATCCCTCCTTTGCCTCCTAAAGCCAGAGGCATAAACCCTCCCCTACTGGAGCAGCCACCACACAGATGGTGTGGGCAGAAGCCACAGGAAACTGGGAGGAGATTTTATGGGCCTCCAACACTTTCCCCAGCTCAGAACCCAGGCGTCCTTGTCCTTTGTCTGGTCACATTAAGCTGTGATGCGCTTCACTAAAATGCTAGTAAGCACAGAGTTCCAGTCCACTGTTTTGAGACACGGTGGCTTTCCCAGAAGATCTACTTCTTCCCTGTGTAAGGCATGGCACATGTTTTTAGCCCTGCTGTTTTTCCTCCTGACAATCTGCTGTGTGTTCAAGGGCATCTCTCCCAACTAAGAACCTATGGGTTTTTAGGAAAAAAAATGTATTTTTAGTACCTTGTGGGAAACTGGGAATTTGTATTCCTACATATCAAAAGTAATGGAGTAATGGAGCAGAATCTGGGTAACTAGGATCTGACAAGGACATCACGTGGCTCAATGGGGACACACATCACTGGGACACAACCACGAAACCAGGTTGAATGGGAAAAGCCAGGGGTGACTTCTCAGATTGGTTTCTCAACCTGTCTCTCCCTAAAGTCTCACTCAAAAGTTGGGTATCTGAAGGAGAATGAGGACAGAGCGAAGTCAGCGAACTTATTAAAAGGCACAGGGCCAAAAATAAACGCGTTCTCTAACCACATGGTCCCCTTAGCTCATCATGGGAAATCATTCTTGGCCATGTGGAAGTCTGCCTAAAGGAGTAAAGAAAGCCCTGCAAGGTCCACAGTTGGTGTGGGTGGCGGAGGAAAGGCCTGTGCCTTGCTTGGACTGCCCTCGCCATGAATGGTCACGGGCTGATTACTTCTGCATGACCCTCATGTCTGTCAGCCTCCAACAGCTCTGAACCACTACAGCATCACAGAAGCCCCCGTCTCTCCGTGGGGCCAGTACGCAGGGGGATGGGAAAGATGGCTCCAGGCACCCAGGTAATTCAGGCCTGCTCATGAGTCTTTGCGTGCAGTGCACTCACAGGACATGAACTAATCAGAAGTCACAGCGAAGCATTGTGAGAGGTCTCTAGTGATGTCACGTTATAGAAGCAGATGCGATGCCAGGCTGGGAGCGCCCTCCGCAGGGACACACAGGAAGTCAAGACTGTGTCTGTCCTCCAGGGCCCGAGTTCCCAGGGGCCAGGCCTGAGCCAGGAGCCTCCTTCCTGCAGCATGGGCTCCTGGGCGGTGCCTCACCCTCTTCCCCACAGGCAACTGCCATTCTGTACTAATCAGCCATTAGGGGCCAACCCTTGGGAGCCAATTAAAAACTTGGGGAGAAAGTTTCACTTCAGTTCAGTGAATGTTGAAATACAGCGTCATCCTTTCTACCTGCACCACTCCCCAGAGACCATTCTCTCCGGAGGAACCAGGGCTTGCCCCTGTCATGGCCATCGGAGACCTTTCCATGTTTCATGGCATCACCTCCCTCAACTTGTCCTTCAAGTTCCTACTCCAAGGCCAGGCCTACCAGGGAGCCTTCGTGGAGAGCCTGGTAATGTCGCCGCAAGTGAGAAGCCCTCCCTGACATTTGCTAGAGGCCGCAGTCTTCTACAGAGTGTTCTTATCACCCTGGATTAATTAAATTGTCTCTGTTGCTTCAGGGCCGACGCTACGCTTTCTACTTCTTTATATCTGACAAGGAGCCCTCAGCAATGATGGGGGTCTGGGCCACATGGACACTGAGAGCTGGTTGCGTCCAAGTGCTGAGTTCTGAGCCCTAATAAATCTGACTCTAAACTAACTCTTCATGTGTGAGTCTCAGGATTCTGACCAGCTGATTTTCAACCTGGTCATCTGTCATTTGTGCTGAGCTTCATGCTTATTGTGTTGCTGATCCAAAATTAGTGGTTTTGGCTCCTAGAAAACAAAACACCTGATTTTGTCCCTGGTACAGGGAAACCAAGGTGAATCTGGAGCATCCTGTAGTATTAGAAAATAACAATATACCAAAAAAAAAAAAAGAGAGAAATAAAGAAAAGAAGAAAGGATAAAAGAAAGGCAGGATGGGGAGGAAGGAAAACTAGAGCAACTCCAGAACAAAATAACCTAGGTATTATAATTTGAGCATCCCTGGAACAAAATAACCAATGTATTATAATTTGAGCCTCCCTACTCAGAAATCTGAAATGCTCCAAAAACCAAAACTTTTAGGGAATTTGATGGCACCAAGGGAAAATTCCACACCTGATTTACTTCACAGGCACAGTAAAGATGCAGTTACCATAAAAACATTATATAAAATTACCTTCTGTGTATGTGTAAAATTTTTACCTGAACTGTAAATTTATTTCAGGTTTACACTTACATGCCATCCCCAAGGTATCTCAAGATGGATATGCAAGTATTTCAGAGTCTGAAAAAATGTGTAATACTTCCTATCCCAACCATTTAGGAGAAGGGATACTAAGCTAATCTTGGACTATAACTCAAAGAATGAAATGAGCATAAATAAATCCATATGGATAAAGTCAAGTAATTGAATAAGCAAATAAGTGAGAGTGAAGGAACCAACTTTCTTTCCAGAAGATTTCCAAGCAGTGTGTGGATGCACTTCATCCTCCCAACTCCCCACCCACCAGAGTGTGGAGCTGAATTCGCTCCTCTCCCACGGAGGGTGAGCTGGAATCAGCACTTTCTGCCAAACAGTAGATGATGGAAGGAGAAAATAATCTTCCGAGAGCCCTTGGACCAAGTGGTGGAGGTCTGCATCACCTGTGACGGGTCCTAGTGAAAACGTGTCCCTGAGATGGTACGATGTGGACATTTCACCCATGTGGAGCTTCTCCAAAAGCCAAAGTGACTGGATCATCATGATCAAAAAGATATATGATAAAATGCCTGACCAAGATCCACATTCTCATTGTGAGACACAATACATAACACGTGCAACGTAAGGGAGGGTTTATTTTGGCTCACAGTTTTTAGACATTTCAGTCCATGGTCGGCTGTCCCCAGGCAGAGTCCAACAGACTCCGATACCTCTGTGAATACAGTGATGTTCCACAGTAATGTCTGCCAAGTTTGACCTGGCATCAGATGAGCCCAAAGAGGTCAGGAAGATGTGTCCTGACCCCAACAAAGAACAACGAGTTTGAAAACCTTAATTCCAAATTCTGGGAATGAGCCTTTCAAAGGCTGCTACCCTTTCCCGTCCACCCCTTGAGGTGTTAGCTGGGGCTCTGACATCAATTGCCTTTCTAAACACTCCAAAATAAAGATTCTAAATGATCCCAGGATAATGCAGTTCTGCTCCAAATTAGTATCTGCATTCCTCCCTCGCCTCCCTTCTGATGAGCATAAAAATGAGGCAGACAATATTTGGAAAGGACATAGTCATCTCTCTTCAGTGAATGCAGATTCGTAGAGGGCCATATCCCAGGAGGAGCTTGAACTGTCCTTAAAAATTCCCAACAGGAGCTGGCACCGGGGCACAGGCCTGTAATCCTAGGTGCTTGGGAAGGTGAGTCAGGTGGATCATACGTTTGAGACCAGCCTGAGAAACTTAGGGAGACCCTGCCTCAAAGTAAAATAAAAAAGGGCTGGAAATGTAGCTCAGCGGCAGAGTGCTTGCCTCAGTTGCACGAAGCCCTGGATTCAACACCCAGTAGCAGACACACACACACACACACACACACACACACACACACACACACCTCCTCCATCCCTGACTAACAATACAAACGTGGGTACCTTTCCTTCTCCTTGGCTCCCTGAGGGAAGGTGATTCATTTGTGATCTTCAGAACACAGACTTGGTATCAAGGTGGTGGAAATCTTAGGACGTGGGGTCTAGTGTGAGGTCATAAGAGCATTGGGGGTGCCGCCTGCAGAAGGAATTAGTGCTGATTTGAGAATCCATTCTCTCAAGAGCAGAGTGTCATAAAAACCATCCCATGTGCTTGCCTTACTGCTTGTGGCCATTTCCCTTCTTCTTCTCCATCATGTAGTAGGACAGCAGAAGGGCCCCTTCCTAGAGGCTGAACAGATGGGACCACTTCATCTTGTCTTTCCAGCCTCCAAACCTGTAAGCAAAATAAATCTTTTTTCTTTATCAAGTACCCAGTCTCAGGAATTTTGCTATAGCAACATAGAACACTCATATGTGGGGTGCAGTTATCAGCATGATGTTGTGATTTATTTCTAAAACGTCACCCAAAAGTTTAATGTCCAGAGATGGGCCATGCTCAGAAGATACAGGTCACTGGGACAAGAACTGGAAAGGCATATTCTTCTCCTGGGCTCCTCCTTCCTCTACTTCTTAACTGCCATGGGTTAAGCAGCTTTCTTCTGCTATGTCTTTCCATTATGTTGTTTCTGCCTTGGAATTTGCCTGCCATGAACTCAATCTCCCAAAATCATAAGCCAAAATAAAGCTCCTCTTCAAATTGTGCTATTGGCTCTTGGTGCCAGCAATGAGAAAGTGACGACCACAGCAGGTTTCATGAAGTTGTCCCACAGGAGCTGGTCACCAGGAGGAAGTTATATAGACAGTTACCTGGGCCAGCCACCTCGGGGAACTGGGAGGAGGCAGGGAAGCAGAAACTATGTCAAGGATGACCAGCCTTGCTTTTGCTATGAAGAAGTGCAATTTATATACAAGATGGATGCCAAGGAAATAAAATTATGAAAATTCACTGTACTGTGTGTGTGTACACAAAGAAGGGATCATAGGAGCACACCGAGATGGCATCTGCCCACAAGTCACGACAAGAGGCCTCAGAATGAAATCTACCTGCCAGCACCTATTTCGGACTTCCAGCTTCCACAACTGTGAGAAACAAGTCTTTGTTGTTAAAGCTACTGCATCTATGATACTTTGCTGTAGCAGCTAAGTAGACCAATATGCCTCACCTACAGCCAACAATTCTAATCATGAGTATTTGCCCAAGAAAAATTAAATCTATGTCCACCAAAATACATGTATACTAATGTTTAGAGAAGCTTTATTCACAACTCTGAAACAATCTAAATGTCTATCATCGGATGAATGCATAAAGAAATTTTGCATATTTATGCACGGAAGTGCACACAGTAATTGAAAAGATAGGACTACCAATATATAGAATATCATGGATGGATATGATAAATAATATGTTGATTGAAAGAAGCCAGAAACAGAAAGTATACACCAGATGATTCCATGTAACATGAAGTATTAAGTAGCAAATTATGTTGATTGAAAGAAGCCAGAAACAGAAAGTATACACCAGATGATTCCATGTAACATGAAGTATTAGAAGTAGCAAAATTAATTTATGGTAAAAGAAATCAGAATAGTGTTTGCTCATGGTCTTTTGGTTTTTTTGGTTTGTTAGTCAGCTTTCTAGTACTGTGGCAAAATACCTGCCATAATCAATTTATAAAGAGGAAAGGTTTATTTTGGCTCATGGTATCAGTTTATTGTTACTTGTCCCTGTTGTTTTGGGCCTGTAGGAGCACGCTATATCATGGTAGGAGAACAGGGCAAAGAAATAGCTGATCTTGTGTCAGCCAGGTAGCAAGAGAGAGAGGGGAAAAGAGAGTCCAACACCCCCTATTCAAGGGCACCCCTTCCCCACTGATCTAATTTCACATCATCAGCCCCACTTGTTAAAGCTTCCACCATCTTCCACTAGCAAAAATGAGCAAGGAACCAACCTTTGAACACATGGGCCTTCAGGGGACATTTTAGAAGGCAAACTATAGCAATTTGCACGTAGCTTTGAGAGAACTTTCTGAGATGATAATGTTCCATGTGTTATTCGACATTGTAGAAATTTATTGACATTTATAAAATATGCACTTATCTTCATTTCATTAGATATAAAAAGGAGTACCGGAGAAACAAAACAATGAACATCAGTAATGTGTAACTGACTGTTTAAAGTTGCAATTCTTCCCAATTAATGAGCCCTCCTGGGGCCGAATATTGAGCAGCACTGAAGACAAAAGTTGCTATCAGTAAGTAAGCCCACTGTGCTTGGCTCTGGTGGCTTGACAGCCATTGTGAAATATTTTCCACAGCACCTCTTGCTGAAGAGTAGTGCTTACGTCAAACACTGTGTGTCCACACACACGCGTGCCATTTTAACCGTGCAATGGCTTAGCAGAGCTCTCCTTGCTTTGTTCTCACCATATACTCTCACTCAAAAGCAGTACATTCTTTGACATTCTAGACTAGATAAAGGAAGGATTGTTAAAAGAAATTATCATCTCCCCCGATAGCTGCAGTATCTGGTTTCTAAGCACACTTCTAATACAGTGCTCCAAAGTTAACAGAAATGTGGCTAAAGGCAGGGGAGCCACCTCTAGTGATCCTTTGACTGCTCAGGAAAGAATGCTTTCAGAAAAGAATTGCACCAGTAGCCAGCAGCATGGTGCCCTGGGAGCTTTGCACCTCTGCCTTGCACCTTTCTGAGGACCTCACTAAGAGGAAGAGCGCTGTTTGAAGTCAGCAAGAAGAGAATCTCTCCAGATCGGGAGCAGGAGTGGGAATTGTGGCCTGGAAATTCATTTCCTTGCCTGGGAAGTCTTCCTGCACCTCAGACATCTGCCTACCCCACAGAAATTCACGCAGTGCACCAGCAGGCAGAGCGTGTCACTGCAGCACGTTTCTCAAAAAGACTATTACACCTTTTTTCTCTTAGGATGCTGGGTATCTAACCAGGGCTTGATGCAGGCCAAGCACATGCTGCACCATGGAACTCACCCCAGACCTCAGTTTTAGCCCATCTGAAAAAAGCAAAACACAACAACCTCTTCAGATAATTCAATAGCTTGTCTGTTCTAGGTCATTCGATTCACTGCAGATAAAGGATTGCGTTTTAGTTTGTTTCCTGTTTGTTTCTTGCCTTCCTTGGATTTAACTGAACATTTTTTTGAATTTTGTCTAGATTTATTTAAACCATTTACTTTTTACTAATCATTTTGTACAATTTTTAAACAAATTTACTCTAAGAATAATAATATGCTCACAAATTATGACAGACAACAAAGCGCAAAAGACTCATTTCCATTGAGGTCTCCCCCATTTGAAAACATAGAGTAATGCCTCCACTCATGAGGGAGTCTCTTGGCAAACAAGTCTGTTCCCACACATGGGCATTCAGCAAAATTTTGCCTCCATTCTCCAATTCCCTTTGGGTGACAAACACTATCGTGGCCACCTCCCCCACACAAACACAAACATAGCCATCTGCCCAAAATCATAAAACCAATTAAGTTTGGGCAATTGTTTGCTTCTGTACCTCAAAATAAACAACCACAAGTGTGAAGAGAGAGCATACAGAATAGGGAAAAATGATTTTAATTTCTTTTTATCAGTCAGTATATGTCATACACATCAATCGCATTCATCGTAAGGAATTTATATCTACACATAACATCTTAATTCTTCTTTACCCCCATAAAAGAAATGTGATTCCATTTTTATGCACATAGATGTGTGTATACACATAATAGCCTTTATGAATAGATGTAAAGTTTTTGTTGAGCCTTTTTCTTAGTTACATGTTTTTTCACCCCACATACTATGTAAATGTTCATAAGGAATGCATTATTCTCAGAAGTACACTAAATCTGTTTTAAAAAGGAGGATATTTATTGGCAAATTCAAACATCTAAGGTATATTCTTCAAAAAAAACAGGTTACAAGTGGTATATACAATATTCCATTTTGTTTTAAAACAAAACATGAGCAGAGCACCCTGGAAGGCTTAGGCAGGAGGAACATAAATACCAGCCCAGCCAGGGCGGTTAAGTGACTCGGCTGAGACCCTGTCTCACAAGAATAAAAAGGGCTGGGGATGGAGGTCAGTGTGCAGGCCCTGAATTCAATCCCCAATCCTGGGTTGGGGAA